TCCAAAAATCCTTTGGTATAGAGGAATTTCAGGAGTAGCCTAAAACTCCATCTTCTCACTGCTAAGCCCCGCCTTCTTCCCGCGAAAGGCATTTTCAAGCCGATGGGAAGCTTCAAGTAAGGTATTTACGCTGCCCTAAAATCTCATCATCTTGGAAATGCTCTTTGACTAGATCTGGTACAATCCTCAGTTCACAGAGAACAGAGGCCTAAATACTGTAGTGCAAGATCAGTAGTGCAAGATGTCACACTACTGATCTTGTGTGATCTTGCACTACAGTACTACATGAACTGCAGGTCATCGGGGCTTGTGCGTGGCTGAGGAGGGTGCCTGGAGGGTTGAACTGCATGAGCTGCAATGGGAGGGATTTAAAATGGGAAGCCGCTAAGGGCAATGGGCAGGCAGCAGTGGGCAGGGGATTTCCATTTTGACCTCTCCCCACTGCCATTGCCTCTGCGCCTGGACTCTAGCCTAAAACTAAACAGGCAGTTCAGCTGCTCCCTCACTGCATCCTAGCACTGTTCAACCCCCCAGGCACCCTTACCAGCTGTGCACAAGCACTGATGCTCAATTCCCCACCCCAAGCTTTGGTGCTCACCAGCCTTGTCTGGTCTGAACTGGTAGGAACCCACCTCTGATCCATACCCAGGAAATCATTGGAGAAAGCAAAAGTAATTTAGAACAGCAAAGTGCAACAGTGAAAACACATTAAAGAATTCATATTAAAATCCAGCAAGGGGATAGAGTAAATCAGTGTTCAACCAGTCAATTGACTTGTAAAAGAAAAATCAAGATAAAAAAGAAAATTCACACCATGCAGTTAAAACCCAGATGGCTTTAAAAAACCAAACTGCTGAGAGGAAAGATAGAGACCCGACTCTCTGACAGTTCCCATCAGGAATTTCTATCCTTGAGATTCCTCTTCCCAGGAGGAGCCAGTCATCTTGGATTGTTCCAAACTGTCCCCATTTAAATCTAGGGAACAGGCTGCCAAAGAATCCACTTTGGTGGCAAAATCAGCTGTTTCCATCAGCAAGAGAAGCAGATCACCCTGCGGCAGCTCAGCACACTTTTTGGGGGGAAGTGGAAATGGGAGCTAAAGTTTTGACTGATGCAGTTTCCATGGGTTTCTACATTAAACTCTATCTTCTTGACACTATATTAAATCTAATGAAACCTTTCATGCATCTTTCTTTCTGGGTTGTATTCTTCGATAACAGGCTAACTAATTATTTAGTTAACTAACTAATTAATTTCCAACTTTTCCTTGCAAAGTCAAACATCTTAAGTCAAACATTGTTGATCTTGTCATTTTGTTAATGTGGAATTCTCTTTTCAACTAGTGGTTAGTTAGAATGGTTCAAAATTTCATGTCTTCATTAATCCAGTTACTTATAATAATGACAAAAAGCTGTTGTTAATTCCATCCATCTTATTATTTTTTAAATATACATAATAGTTGCAACCATCAAGCAAACAAATTGATAAAACATCTTTACAGATACACAGCATTGGAAGTGATATTTATATACATTTATAGATATTTTTTAAGCAAATGATTTATATCCAAACTTTCAGGAACCTCAACATTCTAATGTATTACAATGTATAGTAGGGTTCCTGTTTATTATATTTATTTTAGTACAATTTATATATGAAGTACAATTTATATACTAAAATTTTATTACTGTGATTCCCCGAAAATAAGACAGAGTCTTATTTTCTTTTTACACATAAAATATGGCCTGGACCTTATTGTGAGGGGAGGGTTTATTGTTTTGGGGTTGCCGGGAGGCTGCTCTCTTGCGAGCAGGCTCCCAAAGAGCCGGGCACAGCCTCATGGGTGAATGGCTGTATTGTGCTGTCGCAGCAGCGCAGCACAGCAGCCATGAAGCGACCGCACTCCACACTCATGAGCAGCCACTTGGCAAACCCCCTTTCCAGCCGGGCATGGCTTTTTCTGCGGCTTCCAAACTGAGTCTTCCGGCAGTGGCCGCTCTGGGCGTATGCTCTATGGTTGTACGCTCTGCCGGCAGCTGGCCCACAATCATAGAGTGTATGCCCAGAGCGGCTACTGCTGGAAGACTCAGTTTGGAAGCTGCAGAAAAAGCCATGCGGCAGCGGCAGTGCCCTGGCTCTGCGGAGAGAGCTGGGCCATGCATCGTGAGGCTGGCAGGTGCGTGAGCGAGAGCGGAACAGCAACTCGCGCAACCCTCTCCAGCCATGCAGAGTCCCATTTACTGCCATTTCGAAGATGACAAGCCACGGGAGCCGGGCAGCAGGGAACAGATGCTCATGCAGCTTGGCAATACCCCTAGGTCAGTGAATAGCGTTGTGCCCAGATGGAAAGGGGCTTTGCCGGGGGTTTGCTCATGAGTGTGGTTGCTTCATGGCTGCTGTGCTGCGCTGCTGCGACAGCACAACACAGCCATTCACTCATGAGGCTGTGCCCAGCTCTTTGGGAGCCTGCTCACAAGAGAGCAACCTCCCAGCAACCCCCCCTCTTCAGCTGGGCACAGAGCCACTCACCAACCTAGTGGTATCCCGAAGGCGATCACCTTTGCCTCCCCTCGGTTTAGAGTTTAGAGTTTTATTATTTGATTTGTATGCCGCCCTTTTCCCTAAGGGGACTCAGGGCGGCTCACAACTCAAACAAGGGAAAGGGGGATACAACCAGTTGGACAACAACACAGAACATCACATAGTTAAAAAGCACAACAATCATACCATTCGAGATAGGGCCAGAGATTCTTTAGCCCCAGGCCTGTCGGAACANCTCCCAGCTGGCCATAATATTAGCTACGGGTTCTCCTGATCCCGGGCGAACCCATAGCAGCCCAAACCTGAACATAGGCTTGGAGCAGTATACCCCAGGAGATCCTGCAGAGAGCAGTTTCTCGAACTCAAGAACTTTAAACTGTGTGGACTTCCAACTCCTAGAATTCCCCAGCCCGCAAGTTAAAGTCCACGCAGCTTAAAAGTTCTTTGAGGTCTTTTATCCTAAAGGATAAAAGTCTACATTCCTGGTGGTCTCCTGTTCATTTGCTAGCCACAATGAAACCAGCTAAGCTTGAAGTTGGGCCTAAAGGTTAAGCATCTCTTTAAAATGAGCTCAATTCCAGATATCATGATGGACACATTGGTGGAGTTTTCTTGCCCCGATTTTCTGTGGGACTTTTTTTTTTTTTTTGCAACTTGCCAACTGAATTTTCTGCTCTGGGACTCTTCCCAGCCCAGCATCACCCCTGGTTAGCTTCCCAGGTCAGACGAACTGAGCATGCTCGACGATTTTCAGGACTATCCAGGTGCTCGGGGACATTTGCCTGCATGGTTGATTGGGCTGCTCTTAAGCCACAGTTTGAAGCTACCCCCTTCTGCATGAAATGCATGGGTTAGGACCTTTGCCTGCTCTGCTCCAGGCCTCGGGGATGTGGGAGTCCCACTCCCCTTCGCCCTGCGGCTTTTCTCCTTCCGGCCGAACGGTTGCTAACCCCTTCCCCTTCTTCTCCCTTCCCCTCCCTTGTCTTGCAGCCGTTGTGAGCGCCTGCCCTGCCCTGACAGGACGGAATGCCAGCAGCTGCCCTTGAGAATCACTTCCTACCACCTCTCTTTCCCCGCCAACCTCCAGGGCCCCCTTGACATTTTCCGCATGGGCCCGTCCAATGTTGTTTCCGGGGATCACCTTCAGTTCGCCATCCTGAGCGGGAACGAGGGCGGCTTTTTCGCGGTGAGGAAGGTGGACGGCCACCGGGGCGTCGTGTCTTTGCAGCGGCCCATCCCGGAGCCCCGAGACCTCCACCTGAGGATTCAAATGCAGGTCTCCCGCCACGGAAGGGTCAGCACCTCCCTAGCCGAGCTGTGGATCTATGTCACCGCGCAACTTTGACCCCTTGCATGCTGACTTTGCCTGGGCCTGCGCCGTTGCTACTGTTTTTTTTTTTTAAAGCATCTTTTAATAAAGTTTGGATGGCACAGCGGTGCTGCATGCTGTGTTATCCTTTTATTTCATTCAGCCTGATATGTGTTTTCCTTTAATGCTTTGTACTATGGCAGATTATTTTCTGTCTCCACTTAGGGAAGTTCTGCATATAAATCCATCAAGGTTCTCTTTCAACCAGTAGTATCTCCCGGTCGAAAAAGAACCCCCCAAACCAAGATGGCAGCCTCAACACAACAAGAGTTCAGCTTATCCATTTGGGTCCTTTTATGATTATTATGGTTAGGATGATGAGGGGACTGAATGGTTGCAGGAACTGGGCATGGCTGGTCTAGTGAAGAGAAGGACCAGGGGAGGCATGATAGCAGCCTTCCAATATTTGAGGGGCTGCCATAGAGAGGAGGGGGGGTGGGTGTCAAGCTATTTCCCCAAAAACCCAAAGGCCAAACAAGGAATAATGGCTGGAAACTGAACAAGGAGAGATTCAACCTGGAAATAAAGAGGAAGTTTCTGACGGTGAGAGCAATCAAACCTGAAGTTGCCTTCAGAAGTTGTGGGAGCTTCATCACTGGAAGCTTTCAAGAAGAAGATGGACTGCCATCCGTCAGAAATGATGTAGGGTCTCCTGCTTGGGGGCAAGGGGTTGGACTAGATGACCTACAAGGTCCCTTCCAACACTGTTAATCTGTATCTGCTGCTGACCCCCAGGTGCTTTTTCAAGAGGCAACTGGACTTCTTGGGGGGGGGGGGTTGAAGGTGTTTCACTTCTCATCCAAGAAGCTTCTTCAGCTCTGAGAAAGCTTCTTGGATGAGAAGCGAAATGTCTTCAAAGAAAAACCAGAAAATCCACTTGTTTCTTGAAAAAGCACCTTTGGAACAACCATGACCTGGATGACTGAGAATCTCCATGGACATCATCTGCTGAGCAGGGCCCTCGTCAGAGCAAACCCTTTTGATTGACTAAACACGATACAGATTGTCCTTCACCAACACCTACAGTCATTAATTTAGTCATTAGTCATTAATTACAGTCATTAATTACAGTCATTAATTACAGTCATTAATTGCAGTCATTAATTACAGTCATTAATTACAGTCATTAATTGCAG